CATTGAGTGTTTACGTGGTATGTTCCATGAGTTAAGTGTGATGTACCTGGTGGAACAGTCTATGGATTAAATTGTTGGTGTACCCACTGGTGATGGTTCGAACCCTGAGTGGGGGAGAACTGGGTAGTCAATTGGGAAGATCAGCGATTCGTTCAAGTGCGGTTAGGGAACTGGTTATGGAGATTTGCGGTGCAGACACTTGAGACATGGGTTATTAGTGGATGAGGTAGGGTGCAATAGCTGAGATTTGCAGGTATAGGTATAGATTGTAATCTATACCCCAGAAGAGGGCAACATTTGGTTTGTCGACTAATTTTAGAGTCGGTATGAGCTATGCAGTCAATAGCGGTGGGATAGGGGTTATCGGTAGTTGGTAAAATAGTGGTACTAAATAGCAGTACCGCAAATAGCAGCCATAGTGATCGATATTGACTGATATTTAACCGCTATTTGACTGATATTTGACAAATATCGATGGGATAGCGGTGAAATAGCGTTTATAGCTAAATTTTTTATTAAGTCACTTCATTTATTATTAAAATGTAGATATATGGTGGGAGTTTTATGAGATTGTTAAACATTCGCTTCAAACATTTTCTAATTTACTATATGTTTTAGTTAATGACCATGTATTCATCCAATAAAACACAAGGTTACAAAGGCCCTCCATAACATAAAAATACCGATATCCCACCACGATAACCTATATATCAAATATTGGTCCTTGACCGATATTTGATTTTGAACCGCTATAACTGCATAGGGTATGAGTAGTTCCTTTGCGCAGTGATCAATAGAGGGTGGAGCTTTGGATTTTGTCAACGTGTTTCAGTTGTTGACAATTCCCCATGTTTCAAGTTGTGAGTTAAAGTATTTCGAGGTTCAGAACTGTGCGAGTGGAAGATCAGTGTACGCGACAAGACATCATGAGGTTTTGTGGTGGTGTACCGGGCTATCTGAGTATGACGCCCTAAAATTTTGAATTATTATGATATTTGAGTTGTTAGTGGAGTATCGAGTGACTATTATTCTAGTGGGAACCCATCATTTAATTGTCCCCAGAGCGAGACTGTCTAAGGGTGTACCTATGTTGATATAAGTGCATGGATTGCGAGAATTTGCATTAGGAGTGGTAGTACATAAGTTGGGTGAGTGTAAGCACCTATCTATGTTAAACTGTAGAGCATGAGTTGGCGAACTTAGTGTGGTGATGTTTGATGATGAGGTTATGGGATGATAAGAAAGCAAGTGGATCCGGGTGGAAGTATTCGCTTGGGGTTATCAGGAGAAACCGTGGAGTGAGCCCATGGTGAGTCAGTGAGTGAGAGAGTATTGTAAGACTACGGAGAGCCGTAGCATCCATGAGTCAGCAAAAGATAGTGTCGTGATATTGCAGGGAGCCGTGGTACTCACTGATTAGAGAGAGTGTGTTGTGATACTACGGGGATCCGTAGCATTCAATGGATAGTGGGAGTGGGTTGTGATACTGCGGGGAGCTGTGGTATTCATTAGTCAGTGAGAGAGTATCGCAAGATAACGGGAGAGACCGTAGCACTCAGTAATCAATAAGAGTGAACAGTGTTCTGTCGGAGGGGGGGGGGGGCTGTAGTATTCACGATTCGGAGTATGGCGCAGAGGAGTTCTTAGGCTTGGGTAGCCCTACTGTTTGCGTCTTTGGGAGCCTGGTTGCCGAACCGGGGGCGAGACAAGGGTCTCCGTGTCATTTGGGAATTGATACATCCCAGGTTGAGTGGGGATTGTCATAATCGGAAGGAATTGGGGAGAAGATGTGTTCTTAAATTCACGAATCTTGGGCCATGAGTTGAGTACCATATTGGAATGGAGTGGTTTTAAGTCTGTTGTTGAATTAGACTCTCGAGCTTGAGTCTGGATTCATTCGTGTGTTGAGTAGGCGAGATGAGGTTTCGGTTTTGTATATGGGTTTCATTTTGATGGATATTAATCTTCATTTGATTTCTTAGATCGGAGTGGGTCAGTTTCGTTGGTATGAGAATACTCGAGATATGCATGGAACCAGTGGGTGGTAGATAACAAAGGTCGGAAGCGAGACAATTTTAGATGAGTTGTAGCATTCGCTTGGGGTAAAGCAAACTTCGTGACTTGTGTGTCATGATAAGCCAAGATAGTTATCGTGAGAAGGAATTCGGTGAGACGTTTTGGTTTGTAACGAGTAACCTTTGGAGGTTCATCTATTGTGTCGGGAGCTGACCTGGTGCTCAGTATTGAAGGGGAAATCTGAGAGGAAGTTGGGGCTTATGTCTATGGGTGTCAGAGGATACTTCCAAGTGAGTATAGTCTTTTCTTATGTTTGAGGTCAGATTTTTGGGATTTATTCTTTCTGAAAAGTTTTGATAGTGGTTCAGGCGGTATGTCCTTAGTGGGTCATGACCTTTCTGTTCCTCTTGAATTTGACCGGTATCAATTAGAGAATCAGATTTGGTAGAGTGTTCTTAGAGTCTGTTAATCGATGAGAGGTTAGCATGATATTTTGTGAGGGTGGTCTGGCAGGGAGACAGACCACTAGAGTTTTCTAATCCAGAAAGAGTCGGATCAAGTACCGCGGCGGCAGACGGGTCTGTCCTTCTTCGGGGTCGGGAGTTCCTATTGGGATCAAGTGTCTTTGGAAGAGATTGTTGTATGATAAGAGGTCCTTTTAGCGGTGTTTTTTGGGTTATCAGTTCGATTTATGTGTTGATAAGGAGCAATTTTGAGCGTGAAATCTAATTCAAGTGCGGGAGAATTGTAACATCCTGTTTCTGATCGTCTGTGAATAGGGTTCGGGGGCTACAATCTGGGCATAAGGGAGTCTATGGGTTGTGACAAGTTGCTAGGAGCTTAGAGCATCTCAACACCTATCCGAGGGTATGAGGTTCGTGGGAATTGGGGTTATGTCAAGGAAGCGATGACAGTTTGATGATTTGGAAACATAAATCCTTTAGTTGAAATTGATGGCAACGGAGTACGTTGGGCGTATGTGTGTGTACGCTTAGCGTACTCTTGCGCGTGGCATTTAAGTTGAGCCACCTAATACGCTGGGCATACCATAGGGTACGCTGGGCGTACTAGGCACAAAAAGAAAACCCTAATTAATATGAGTGTCCTGATATTTTCATAATTAGCCATGTGTTTAACATATATTTTTATTCATTTTTAGCTAATTATATGCAGAATATGGACAAAAGGTACTTAATGATGCTTAAATTGTGTTTTCAGTCCAAGATACAGCTTTGGAGCAAAAATGAGTGAGGAGGAGCGATTAGAGATCAAAGAATGAAGAAAAAGGAATAATTACACATCTACTCGGCGAGTTCGTAAGAATGTTCCCGAAGAAAAGTCAAAAATCCTTGTCGTACACGGATTCCATGCACATACTCGGCGAGTCCACGACCTACTCGTCGAGTACCCTTTTTTGTGATATCTATAAATGTGGAGTCTTAATTCGAATTAAAGACTTTTCTGGCTTCCTTAGAGATAGAGCTACGATTGGAGAAACCCTTGACGACCTGAAGAACCCTAATCTTTGATCTTTTGAAGTTTGGAAGCGAATTAGGTTATATTTTCCACTTAATCCTAGGATTGCATTATGTTTAGTTTAATCAAATTCGTTTTTGAGCCTGCTTTTCTTGTAATCATGAGCTAAAACTCGGATGGTTTCTGTTTAGGAAGAACCAAATTACTCCTATGGTTTAATTAATACTTTTTTTGATTGTTTATTAGTGAATTAAGTTTGTTAAAGAACCTTATGCATTGATTACAACTATTTTCTGTTAATTGGAAGACAATTAAGCTGCATGAACATCTCTTAGTTGTTAACCTCATATGTTTATGTGACTACTTTATCATATGACTAGGAATAATGAACATGAAACTAGAATTAATAAGAGAATAGGTAAATTAATATGTGAGCTTGTTTGAAAAA